GTCCTTAGCCGAGTAGTCCAGACTCTTATATTCTCTCATGCCAAACTGTCTCTGCTTGGAAATCAACGAGGTATTTTTTCTCTTCCTCCGACTCGGAAGGACTTCCATAGGTGCGTGAGTTCAACATGCTGTGAAGAACCGAGGTTTGCCAAAAAGTGCCGAATGGCGCGTATGCGCATGTAAAGAGTTACAGTTTCGGTTTCTTTGTGAGCTCCTGCGCCCCAGGGGACTCCAGTCTACGTTTCCGACCTCTCTCGGCGCTCTCCTCTAGATCTTCATTGCCGGCCTAGACTCGTGAACCAGTCGGTGTCGCAGGCTCACAATCTGAGACCACATTCGGACAGAAACCAAATATCTACCAAATAATGATGGGCTGATGGTAACTAGTAGGCCTGCTAACCGACTGGGCCCGCCCGTTGCTGATTTGGGTGATGGATTTTCTCCCGCCATTTAAGACCTCCGGACTTAGAAAAAAACGCTCAAAACCCTCCAAAAAAGTGCCAGAACTTCCTAGGTGAGAAATGGATAACTTTTACTTCTCTATCGACTGGTGAAAAAAAAAAAAAGGGCGGTAAATTCGAATAAATATCATGGGCTGATGTCACACAACGTGACAACATCACCAGCGCCGCCGCGACCTTCTGAACCATCGTCGGGCGCGTTCCCGTCGAGTTCTGACCAAAATATGTCTCCCAATGGACATTAGACACTTTCTTTTACCTCTCATGCGTTAATTTTCATATTCTACACATTGATTTGGCCGAAAAAACCCAAAAGACTTTTTTCTCACCATTGAATAGAGAATCCAAAGTTAGAGCCTCTTCGGATACCCAGAATCTGATTCTACAATAAACCAAGATTTCCTTTTATAGTAAAAGTTGCAGATTCTGAAAGGTGTGTGAATCTTCCCGCAACAGTTTTTAAGCGAGCCCGTCCGACTCCGCATGACACCCACAGTCCCGCCCCCCCGCCCTTCAATGGCGGCATCTTATATCCACCCAAAATTCAGTGTTTCTGTTCACTACGTAGGGCGAGTTTTAATGATAACCCCTAGGTTGAAATCGGTTGTGGTTTGACCCAATTTTGACTTGCTGGAATGGAGCTCGATGACCGTCGGGAGCTGGTCGCCGTCGACGAGGACACCTCGTGTACGATCAAGAACACATCATCTTTTGATGCGACTCGTGGATTTCTCACACAAATGTCGTGAGTACTGAAAAAGGAAATCTTGGTTTATCGCAGAATCAGATTCTGGGTATCCGAAGAGGCTCTTATCCATCTCTCACCTAGGAAGTTTGAGCACTTTTTGGAGGGTTTTGAATGACTTTTTCTAAGTCCGGAGCTCTTAAATGGCGGGAGAAAATCCATCACCCAAATCAGCAATGGGTAGGGGCCCAGCCGGTTACTGACACAACCTTCCGAGCTCAAGCGAGTGATGGCTTTGTAGATATTTGCTCAGTAACCGGATGGGGACGAGCCTATTGCCGGCCATCATGGATTGGAGAACCGAGCTCGACATGCCGGCGACCGGGAGAGATATCAATTTTGCCTGCATGGCGCTAGTCGCCGCTCGAGTGAGTGGAAAATTTGGAGATTCAGTGGACGTCGATGGCATTTGATAATATTGATCTCGGGGGTTGTCTTTATTAGGATGTTAAAAATTAATGAAGATGTTCAATAGTGGCACACTGACCTTTGACATTGTCTGGAAACAAAGTTAGCGTGATTCCAGAGACTACGACGTACTATGTACAAAAAACAATCTGCCGGATCCGATCAACAGGCGGGAGTAGCGGCCAATCGTGCAAGGAACGGCGAAATTTGGCATTAAATGTCTCGTCCCAATGTGCTGCATCTTTGCATTTCCTTTCTCCGATATGGAGACTAACTAGCCTTTGAGTTATTGCTCCCACTTTCGGCCGCTTGACAGAATCCTGTTCCCAACAGTCCAGGAGTAGCTGCCAAAGTATTTCCGACGGCCCTGGGTCTGGACGGGAGGGTTGGCTGCCACCTATAACTTTGATACTGACGGCCATATCGTTCATTAATTCATAAAATGGCGCCTTCCCCGTCAATATCTGTCGCAAAAAGAATATAGGATGCACCAAATAATCGAAGGCCCACCTCGTAACCAACCCACCCGAAGGCATAAACATCCGATCCATAATGATTTTGCATTTCTCCCAATAACAGCTCTGGTGCTTGGTGACGCGCCGTTCCTCCACGAGCACTTCTGGTCGAATGAGTGAACCGCAGACTCACGGCATCGGCGATGGTCGATAATCCGAAATCAGCGATACAGGCCCTTCCTGAGGGGGTGAGGAGGATGTTTGTCTGAAAGAACATCGTAATAAATTTGCCGACATTCAAGCTAAAATTCTTTAGAACGTATTCCTTTAAGATCTCCGTGGATGACATGTTCGTCGTGCAAATACTCCAGGCCCATGGGCCACGTCCAAAATCTACAGCTTACGTCAAACAGATGAAAATACTCCGATAAGATCCTTACAAGTGGAACTCGGTTGAGACCGACCGGTGCAGTTTTTAAGAAATCCAAGATGTGCCCGTTCTCCATCCAAGGTGACACGAGACAGAGTCTACGGTCCAAGTAATAAAGCCCATAGAATGGAAGCAAGTTGGGGTGTGATAATTGTCTCCAGATGAGGGCTTCGCGGCCAAATTCCTATAGAGATGAAGCCCAAATGGACTTTTCGAGAGCAGTAGCTTGCCTTCAGCGCCGCTCTTACATCCGTGTCCCGAAACAGTCTCATGATCTTGACAGAAACAGTTTGATCCCGCACTGAACCCTTCCAAATGTCGCCGAAGGCGCCGGCCGCCACTTGCGGCCCTAATTTTGCTAATCCAACCAGTGGGAAGCATGTAGGAAGAAGTTCGGATACGCGGGAAAGTCTTAGCAAGGCTTGTGAGAGCAAGGGCCGCTGGCGAATCCGGGAACGAATCAAGAAGCTGGCATATCGTTAAGACCGACACAATGACAATGGGTACCACGACCGCTTACATCTTGAACAAGATCCAGAAGGCGTTGAGCAACAGGCCCGCGAGATGCTAGAAAGGTCTTGTAGGTTTTTGCGTCGCGTAAAACAATAATGAACTCCGCCAGAAGGGTGTGGGCATCCAGAGAAAGATGTGCAGATATCTGCCTTTCGATGTCGCCCGTCTTTATTCCCACCTACTAATAATGTTAATGTACGCGGCAATCGGAAGGCGCAGTAGTTATCATACCCATGACCACGCGGTCCTGTTTAGAAACCCAAACACAACCGCTAGGATTGTTTTATAATTCGAGAAACTAGCAAAGTCGTCCTCCTGCTGGTACAGCCATTTCACCCAGTTGAGAAAATTGCGCAAGCGTCTGTGCAGCGAAAGAATAAATGACTGCAGCGGCCACAAAGCAATGTTAAGAGACTTACGAGTCGGACTACTGACGCAGCATGGTCAATGTGTAGATGATTAAATGCTGTTGATGTTATTGCAACGGTCTTTAACCGGTTATGAAGAGTACCTGAGGGACCCTCCGCCGCTGGAGATCGGTGACTCCCATGTATTCCAGACAATCGGAGAAACTTGGCTGCAATACAAGACGTGCGTGGAGAAATATATCGAGTCTCGCGTTCCACGCCGGAGGTCCAGGATCGTGCGTTCGTTCCTCACTCGAGTCATTAGCATCGTTCAAAGTCTCGGCGCTCATGGTTTGTCTGTTGCCAGCTCGTGAAGGTTCGGGGAGGCGGTTGGGTGGAGGGTGAACTACAGTAAGAGACCGTAGCGCACAGCCCAGAACAACACGGACATGTCAGACACCCGTCAACTGTCATCCAAGTTTGGTTCAAAGTCTCAAAGAGGCGTCAGGAGAGACGCCCCGGGCACGGTCCGGGTGCGTGAATAATCAACTCAGGAAGTTCGGCACTTTCTCCCCTCGTATCGCATCAATCCGCTCGGCGCCCCTTATCCAACGAGTGTTGAGGTGATTGAAGACTTTGTGTCCATGCCCACTCACTCAGACCGGACTCCTCCATGAATAGTTGGCCATGCGTCGTAGGTTGTTGTTGGGTTATTGAGACCATGACGTGGTGTGGCGGTGCGGGCAGGCCGACTGCCGAAGGCGAGTTTGTGAACGGTTGACGCGTCCGACACAATAAAGGATGGGAATCAATTAATTGTGAGCCCGAAACAGATACATTAGCCTGGTTGACTGTGTTAAATGCGAGGAGCCCGACGGTGAATCCAAAATTGAACCGTGGGAATTTTGAGTCGGCTATCTCGGCATTTACACTTGTCGATTCGTTTGCTTGTCTAGCATAGAAGTCAAAGGCTACCATTGTACCGCGAACATTTGAGACAGACTGCGGTCTAAAAAAAAAGGGGGGAAATGATTCGAGGTCTTACTTGAACTCTCTAAAGTCTTCAATTCCCATCTTATCTATGTAGGCCGAGAGGACAGGAGATCGATTTACCTTAGGCTGGAAGCCAGCCTGTCTACGAAAGCGAGCTTGTCGATAGAAACAACAACAGACACGGTAACCGGTCCAGATTTACCTGGGTTTGAACTTCGACATCACCATGGCTGGTTGAATTTCTACAACAGAAGTCGTGCGCGGAAGGAAATTAAAGGCTCTGAATCGCTGGTGGTTGGTGTGGCGGTCTGCCGAGCACACTGAGGCTTGTTAACGCGGTATGTTGCACCATGAGGATGCATGAAACGCCGAGGGAGGGAGGGAAGCCTTATCATTGATCCCGAATTCGATTCCCACGGTTCAAAACTAGGTTTGGCCGAAAGTAACCGCTCTGTATTCTGCCGGGGGATGTTTGCTGTAAGGACAAGAGACCCTTAAACAGTGGACTGCCTCAGTGGTCGGATATTGATCTTTTTACAGTCTCAAACGTCGCCACGCAAAAAAAGAGAAGAAAAAAAAGGCAGACGATGCGCGAAACGTTTCGGCGTCGTTTCAGATGGTATCTCACCTTCATAAATTAGGCTTTGCGGTTCGATGGTGTAGTTGGTTATCACTTCTGTCTAACAGTTACAGCGCTTAAGCAGCGTAACCTGTCGCACAGGCGGTCCTCAGTTCGAACCTGGGTCGAATCATGTTTTGCTCCCTGTTGCTCCCTGTTGCTGCGTTTTACAATTTTTGTGTATCATTCGATGCGCATCCCTTTGCGTAAGCTAAACCGCAGGCGGTCCCCAGTTCAAACCCGGGTCGAATCGCTTTTCCTCCCGTGTATTTTCAAACCATCGATTGATTATGGCCACCATCGGCGTGGGAGCATCTATTTTTTGCTTCCATGTCTTCCCCCCATTGCCCCTGATCGCCTGAAATATTTTCAAGTAAAACGGGTCGACGGTCGAGGCAGGAAACGACGAAAACGACGAAGAGCGGATAGTTCCCGATTGGGTCATATCAATATATTATGTAAGCGGCGTTGAGTTCCGCTTTGGGAAGATGCCCTCACTTCTTCCGTTCGGTTTCTACCGTTTCATGCCAGTTATAAATTACTATTGTTCTCAGTCGCGACTAACTTTGGGGCTTGAAACTTGAACTTTGCAGCCGAAGGGAGGTTTGAACTTTAAGCTGCGGCAACAATTTCCGTTGAGACAAATTTCCGTTTATTCAAGGGGGGTCAAGTCTGGGGTAATCTGAATCAGGTCCTAACTTGATGTAGTTTTACTCACTGAAGCTGAATATCACTATTCCGAAGCTTGAATGCAAGTCGTCGCAGAGTTTGAGGTCAAAACATTATTTCTATATCGGGCCTGATAAGAGATTTGATGCGTCCGAATTCAGTAATTTATCATGTGATGACCCAAATGGTCTAGACTTTGGTCAAAGTCTTTTCCTTCCACAACTCCCTTTTTTCTGGTTTACCCCTCGGGATACATCCCGACAACCTCCAGGAAGACCTCTAGCAAAAAAAATCTGTGAAAATCATCGGTTTGGCGCTGATATAAGCCACTTTCCCACGGGGGGGGGAGGGGGGGGGGGTAAGGCCAAAATGCCTGAAAAAAAAAAGTTGTACGTGATATCCTTTTTTCTAATCTTTGACTCCCCTTGCGTTTATTAAATATGTCTTCGTAGCATCCAATTTATCATACAACATGTACAATCCCCGTCTACTACACTCTATCCTGTCCTAGTTGTAGTTAATTTAAACACAGAGAGTCGTGATTGTGAGGAGGGCAAACAAGGTGCGTGTCCCAGCGAGCAGCCGTTTTAAGTAAAAAGAGAAAATGAAGCGACAAATGAATGGATGAAGCATTTGATATGATACATGGAATGTCCAGCAGGGGTAAAAGCACACCGAGCGGTCTATACCCTCGCGCATGATAAAAGAGGGCACAAGCAACGCAGAGTCGGGACAGATGGTACAAGGCGGGTGGGTATCGGGTCCTCGCGATCAGATGACGCGCTTCTTCTGCTTACGGGGAGTTGTAACGCCGCCGCCGTACGGGTATTTTTGCTTTTTCTCTGCCGGTTTGAGAATCTAGATGGTGCCAAATTAGTCGGTATAGAATTCATTTGCAGGGAGGGGCAGAGACGCACCTGGAACGAACACAATAGCGACTCGTCCACGCTCATCAGCGCGCCCGCGTTGTCAAACTCGCCGCAATAATTCGGCGCCGAGAACAGCGTCACTAAATGCCGCTTTGCGAAAAACTCGTACCCGTCCTCCACGACCTGCACTCGGGTATTAGGCACGCCAAAAAAAAGAGCAGAACAGACGCACCTGATGCCCCCGACATATCAACTCCAGATCGTGTTTTTGGAGGAACCGCGCGACGACATCAGGCCCAAACGTAAACGACACCCCGCGGTCGTTTTCTGACCACCCCGTAATATCCTTGTCGGGATCGGCCCATAGCAGGTCGGAGAGTAGCCCTGTGTCGTTAGTATGAAATCAGCGCTGTTATTGCCGGGGAATTGAGACGGGAGCGCACCTGTATCGGGGACGTCAGTCGGCCGCATCACTCGTCGTATTTGCTCCATGGACTGCAGGTCCGGACTCAGCCCGCCGTGCATCGTGAAGATTTTCTCGTCAATAATCGCCGCGATGGGCAAGCAATTGAAGCAATCGGTAAAGGTTTTCCAGAGTTTGATGTTATACCGGCGTTTACCTGCAACTTGCGTGAGCGCGGAAGAGGTTAAAGGCAGAGCACATACATTCGTCGTAAAACCCGTATATCCTGTTGATGCACGCGCACTCGTGGTTCCCTCGCAAAATAAAGAAATTCTCGGGGTACTTGATCTTGTACGCAAGCAGCAAGCAAATCGTCTCGAGGGACTGCTTCCCGCGGTCGACATAGTCGCCCAGGAACAGGTAGTTCGCCTCGGGAGGGAACCCGCCATACTCAAACAGCCGTAAAAGGTCGTAGTATTGCCCATGGATGTCTCCTGTATACCCAGCGTCCGTGAGTCTACGCCGAAAACCAAGGGCACACGACCCACCGCATATCTTGATCGGCGCCTCGAGCTCGAGCAGGATGGGTTGGTTGATGAATATCTCGCGGGCCTTGGTGCAGAGGTACTTGATTTCGTACTCTTGGAGCTGGACGGCCTTGCCGGGGCGATTCCCTCGAACTGGACGGCGTTTGCTTTCAGTACCTCGAAAAAAAGGGGGGAAGGCGGGCGGACCTTCGAGGAGTTTGTCAATGACCGAGTCAAGGTCAATCTCTATCTCTGCCATCTGCAATTAACTGCTAGTATCGAGGGCTTGTTATAAAGCTGTAGATGGTATGGGGTATCAAACAAAGGGAGCTCGGTGCTGTGGCGTGCGGGTCGTGTCGATAACGAGCGAGAACGAGAACTGCGAGCTGTGGGGTATGGTGGCGGAATGACTCGAATGGACAGAAGATAAAGTCAATCACACGATGCCCACGCGAACTTTGATCGCATCCGGTCCGCACTCCGAAAGCCTAAAGGCCGCATTACCATGTACAAGCTAATTATTAAGTTACTTGTCTCTAGAAAAACAACAGTGCAGCATAATGCGAGTGCGGGAGACGTGTATGGGTATGTGCAATAGTCCCAGTGAGATATAAAAAAATGAGTGTACAGATTAGCTCTCGGACAATCGTTCGCTAGTAGCGTTAGCAGTATCGGCAGTGCCATTAGCAGCCCGGTTCCGTCGTCTCCTCCGCCTGAAAAAGTAACCAGTCGAGTCAGCGTCGCGCAGCACAGGCACAAAGACCGCGCAACCCACCTGGGGAACAACGGCCCCTTGGGCATGATCCGTTCGTCCAGATCCAGCGCAATATTAGTCGCACAGTGGAAGCCCTACGTGGCTCGTTAGCCTTTCGTCTTCCCGATCCCCATCCGAGAATTTAGAACGCACCTCGATCCAGTCCACGACATCCCCCACGTCCCGCGCCTGCAGTAAAAACTGCTCCCCCTCCAGGCGTACCCGAATAACATGCTTCCGCTTCACATAGTCGTTCCCCAGCCCGCTCTCGGCGTGCTGCAACGTATACGCGCGGATGAGATCCGCGGGGTTAGGCTCCGGCACGTCCGTCCCCGCCGCAGTCATCGCTTTAGTGAACTTGTTCTTCGAGCTAGCACTGCTGCTCGGTGTCGCGGGTGCCCGCGCGCTGAGCAGACCCGAACGCGAAGACGACGCAAGGCTGACGTTCGAAACGTTTGACCTCGAGGGCGCGAGCGGGACGCCCGTCGTGGGACTCACGCCAGTTGGGCTCGAGTTTGAACTGAACGACGGCCGGGGAATGGAGAGCGACGACCGCGCTATCGTTGGCGTTTTCGGCGGACCCTGTAAATCGCTCTTCGACCGCCCATGCGCTCGTGGCTTGAGCAGACTGAGCCCAAGATTTAGCCGCGAGCGGCTCGCCTGCGCGTGAGTGCTAGCGCTCCCCTCGGGCGACGGCGGCGTACTCGACGTAGCAGACGATGAGGCCCGACTGCGCGCCGACGACATACTCTCCCTCGGCGGAACAACCACCTCCGTCGTCCCCTCCGCCCCCACCTCACCCTCCTCCGCTCCAACAGGCAGCCTCCCCTGCTCGCCCGCAATTTTCCGCTCCTGTGTCCCCGTCGGCTTGGCTGGCTTCGCCGGAACCGCACTAAACACCGCCCCATCCCCCGCCCCCACAGCCCGCTCCCACCACCCCTCCCCCGCACACCGATACACCCGAAACGCCGTCCCCTCCAGCTCACACACCACCCGTCGCCACTTGCGGTCCTTCGCCTGCACCCCCGGCGCCGTAAACTCCATCTTCCGCGGCATCACCCCGCGCAGCAGTATCGCGTTGCTGTACCCCGGCAGCGTCTCGCGCCCCTCGTCGTCGCGGGGCACGATGCGCGCCTGCGCGAGCGGGTGCGCGTTGACGGGGAGGAACGGCGAGCCGACGGGGGGGAGCGTGTACGGCGGCGGCGCAGCCATGATCTCGGGCATCGACCGGCGGCGCTTCAGCGTGCTCGTGCGCCCGATCCCACCGTGCCCGTCGTACGCGGGCGCCTCCCCGCGCGGCGTGTCGTCCGCCTTGCCCTTGCCCTTCCCGCCGACCTTGAGCCCGAGCGGCACGTCGTCCTCGTCTGGCGTGGAGACGGTGTTGAGGATATCGACCATGCTGCGCGAGGCGTGCTTGTACATCCCGGGGCGCTCGCCGACAGGCGCAGGGAGCGGCGGCATCGGGATGCTGCGCACGGTGGGCGAGAGGGGTACCCCCATCGGCGTCTGCAGCGGCTGGCGGGGAGTCTTCCCGTCCGAGGTCGGTGTCCTCACGGAGAAGTAATCCGGGTGCCACCCCGCCACGGTCGGCGTCCGCCCGCCGATGTTGCTGTTCTGCGACGGCGCACCCTCCCTCTCCTTCCCCTTCCCCTTCCCAATGCCCAACCCCCCAAACAGCCCCCCAAGATCGAGCGACAGCGGCGGAAGCGGCACGAAGGGCGACTCCCCGCCCTGCGTACGATCCACATCCATAGACTCCCCTCGCTCGCTCTCATCCCTTCCGTCCTCGTCCTGCCCATCCTCGTCTTCATCCTCCTCCTCATCCTCATGCTCGTCCCCATCGTCCTCCTCCTCCCCGCCCCCCACCCCCGCCTGCAACGCCCCCTCCATCGCCAGCGCCGGCATACTCCG